ACCCCACCCCAGGCCTTCACCTACCTATTGTCTGTGTCCATAGGTTATTCATTTCAACATTTACTACAAATACAAATCTTTGCAGTGAATATATAACATTGGTTTTTGTTTTTAACCTTTAAATAACTTGCGTTATATGCAACCTTCCTTTTTTCACTGAGCAAAATATTTTGAAATACATTCATTTTGAAAAGCAATGTAGTTTTGTTTTATTTAGTTTAAGTGCTGGATATTCATTATATGAATAAACTACAGTTAATTATTTTGTTCCTTTACTTATGTTCAAGTGAATTGTTTGTGCTAATTTCTATTACAAATATTGCAGTGGGCATCTATGTACAGTCTCTATGCATACGTGGAGAGTTTCTTTAGCATATATTTCAAAAGTAGAATTGCTGTATTGTAAATTGTGCTAATTTATATGCAAATTAGCAGTGTATAAGAATTTTGACTTTCTTATGTCTTTCTTATCACTTAGTGTCTTTTACATTTTTTTAACCAATATGTTAAGTGTAGAATGATACCTTGTTTTAATTGCATTTCCTTGGTATTATAACACTGAGCCTGAAGGTTTTCATATGTTTATTGGTCATTATTTTCCTTGTCAATATATTTCCTGTTCATAATCTTTGCCCATTTTTTAAAAATTGAGTTATATGTCTTTTTTGTATCAATTTTATCAGATTTTTAAGTTTTCTGAGTGTCAGTTTTTTGTTAGGTTTTTCATAGCAGATAACTTCTCCCTAACCATGCCTTATCTTTTCACTATGTTTAGGATAGCTTTTGTCATTCAGAAATGTCTTTTTAAATATGAAATGTTTCATGAATTTGTGTGTCATCTTTGCTCATGGGCCATGCTAATGTCTGTATCATTCCAGTTTTAGTTTTTGTGTTGCCAAAGCAAGCAGTTTTTCTTTTTAATGTAGTCACATGTATTCATCGTTTTCTTTGTGGTTTGTGGTTTTTGTGCTTTGTTGTAAATAACTTATTTTGTGTAAAGCATTTGGAAGAGGAACTGTACATGGAGCCTCAAGTATTATATTTATTGTTGATGAAGTTTTTCCTTTTTCCATTATAAAGATATTGTTATGTGCGTGTGTGTATACACATACATTCATACCTACACACACACACACAAACATTTGTATAATGACCTTTAGATGGTATTGTTGCATTTCTAGGTATATACTCTAAATGAGTTTTACAAATGTACACAAGATAGCACATGGAAACATGCTCTTTGAAATATTTAAAAAATATATCAGCAGTTAAAAGAAATGAACTAGAGTGGGAGATATCAATGTAAAAAGATATAAAAGAAAATATTAAGTGATAAAGGAAAAGTGAAGGGTATATTTACTTACTTTTTTTTTTTAATATATCTTTATTGATTTCAGAAAGAGGGAGGGAGAGGGGGAAAGAGAGAGAGAGGGAGAGAAACATCAATGATGAGAGCGTTGTCATTGACCGGCTGCCTTCTGCACACTTTCTACTGGGCATCGAGCCCAAAACCCCAGCATGTGCCCTGACCGGGAATTGAACTTCGATCTTCTGGATCCTAGGTCGATGCTCAACCGCTGACCCATGTCCGGCTGGGCTACTTACACACTCTTACATATGTACCATTTATGCATGGCATAGTTCATGAAACAGTTATTTGTGTTCTTGATGGATATATACATAAAATTGATACAACATTTTGAGAGCCATGTGACTATGCCTACCAAATTAAAAAATACACAAGCCTGTTGACCCAAATATCCTACCACTGGGAATTTATTTTGCAGATATATTTACAAAAGTACACTGATAAATACTTTACACAAACATGTATGCTGCAGGATTGTTAGAAATAGCAGTGAATTGGAAACAACTGAAATAATCAAGAAACTAGCTAAATGAAGACAAATGGGAAGACCTTTAAGGTATTAAATCGAGAAAGTCAAGGTATAGAACAGTGTGTATTGTGTGATCTCATCTGTGTAAATGTACATATGGAAATGGAAATGTACAAGAAGGGTGTGCACTAAACTCATGATAGTGGTTGCCTATGGAAGTGACAACAGGGAATGGAACTTAGGTTTGCTGATGTAAGAAAATTTTAGCTTTATTACATTTTATTTTTTTAAAGATTCAAAGTTAATATAATTTAATATTGATAATTGTTACTTATGTTGTTGCTAGAACTCTAGTGTCTCTTATAGTGTGATTTGAATTGTCTGCACTTTTAGTTTTCCTGAAGGTAAACAAATTTCTCAAAAAAATTTAAAACCCATAAAATGGCGTTGGTGAAAATCAGTATATAACCTTACAAAGTAAAAGAAAAACAAAACTGAAACAAAATTTAAAAATAACTTTTTGCTCAGATTTATAGAACATTTTGGAAATTTCCATAAGGCTTACATCTATATTTAGTATGATCATCATTTTGAAAACCACGAAATTAAGAAATTGAAAATATAACTTAACTTACAAACTAGTTGTGCCTTTTCGTCTCAAAGATTCCATCAAAATCCAGACAACCTCTTTTTCTGTTATGTTTCAATCCTTGAGAATTAGGAAAGTTTGCAGATTTATTGACCAAAAAATTGAAACCCTGCTATCATTAGTAGATTAAGTTATTTCAGTATACTCACCTTTGTCACCAGATATCAAATTGATCAGTGTTCCTTAATTTTTCTTTAGAGAACTGAAGGAGTGATCTTTCCATTTCCCAAAAATCACTTTATCACCATACCGAGTTACCAGTTCTATGCTTTTACTTTTTTAATGAGACATTAAAATTAAGTTAATATTGTCCTGTTTTAATAGTACTTGTATTTGCATGGATATGAAATTTCTACTGTTGATATGCTTTATTTGTAATTGTTTCTAGGATCTGAAGAAGATGATGAAGTTGTGGCAATGATTAAAGAATTGTTAGATACTAGAATACGGTATGTGCTTATCCTTCTACTTGAGATCATATATACTGCAGAATCAATTTTCATTATATCAATTTGCTTTTGGTTGCCTGTGAGCTTATAGTAGAGTTTTAAAAGAAGTATAAGTTAATGTAAACCACTGTAGGTAGCCATAACAGTTGAATTTAAAGCCTGTATATTGTCTATATTCACTCCAAATCTTAAAACAATCTATCTAAACATAGTCAGTAAAGGACTTTATCTTTTACAGTCACCATTAAGTTTGACATTCATATAATACCAAATTTCTTAGAAAAAAATGATTTAACAGTGTTTGGGAAGATTGCGAGGGAAGGATTACCTATATTTTAGGCTATTGTTCATAAAGAGTAAATTTAAATAAGTGGAGAACTTCAGGCTTCTACTTTTTGCTTATAGCAGACCAGTGGTCTTGGTGAGAAGTCCCAGAAAAGCTAGGTAAAATACAATAAATAAAAAAATTGTGTGTGAAGGCATTAAATAGCTACCAAAGCAAACAAGATCCTGTAGGGAAGGAAAGCACATTGAGGCTTCCCTTGGGGCATTTGCTTATTTTTGGTGTGAGGCTAGAATATGAGAAGCTGGCCAGGGGCATTTGCTAAGGAGCAGAAAAGCCATTTAGCTTTTTGCAAATGGTTTGTTAAAAGAGGGGAGAGGGAAGGGGAGAGAAGAAAAAAGAGAGAAGAGAAACATCGATGTGAAAGAAACATTGATATTAGAGAAACATTGATTGGTTGCCTCCTGTATGCGCCCCTACTGGTGATTGAACCAGCAACCTAGGTATGTGCTGTGATCAGGAATGAAACCCCAAACCTTTTAGTGTATGGGATGATGCTCCAACCGAGCCACCCAGCCAGGGTTATGCATATTATTGACCCAGCAATTCCACTCGACAATATGGATGAATCTCACAAAGAACAAAATAAGCCAGTTGCAAAAGAGTAAATACTATATGTTTCCTAAATGGAATTTATATTTAAAAATTTTTAAGTTTAAAAAAAAGGCAAAACTAATCAATGGTGATAACAATTAGGAAATGGTTACCTTTGGTTGGGAGGAGTGATTAGAAAGAAGAATGAATAAGAGGGCTTCTGAGAGGCTAGTGTTCTGTTTCTTGGTCTGAGACAAGTGTATGTTCACTTTGTAAAAATTAATTGAATCGATTGTACATGATTTCTGCATTAATTTTACATTTCAATAAAAAGTTTACCTGAAAAAAAAAAAAAGCCAGCATGTGTCAATTTCTCTGTATTCACCCAAAAGAAATTAATGAGTATATCTTAGGTAGTTACTATAATTATTAGGAAACTTGAAATCTTAAAAAAGATGATTAATAAGTAAGATTAAAATATAGTAAGTAGAGCATATTATTTGTATGAATGAATTTGACAAAATTAAAATTACAAATGAGACTAGCCACATTTATTGTTCTCTATTGTAAGAGTAGCTCTAACTTTGTGAATTTTACCAATATAAAATCTAAGCTCTGAGTATTAAAGTTTTTTTGATGGAAATTTCTATTCTCTTAAATATATCACAAATATACTGTGACCACAGGCCAACTGTGCAGGAAGATGGAGGAGATGTAATCTATAAGGGGTTTGAAGATGGCATCGTACGGCTGAAACTCCAAGGTTCTTGTACCAGCTGCCCTAGTTCAATCATTACTCTGAAAAATGGAATTCAGAACATGCTGCAGTTTTATATTCCAGAAGTAGAAGGTGTAGAACAGGTATGCCAATATTATGTGATGGTTTAGATTTAATATTAAAATAAACATTTGCGAAGAAAAGAAATTCATGATCTGACATTTTCTTCAAGGGCTAGATCTTAGTGTTGCAATTTTTGTTAGACTTGACAACTGTTTTAGAATTAATTTTAGTGTTATGAATACCTACCTAGTGCCAGGCATTTTTACAAATATTACTTCATTTACTCTTCTAATAGCACAGTGTATTAAGATTCATTTCCATTTTGTGCACAGGAAATTGAGACTCACGGGGCATACTGCTGCTCAGCAGTTGAGCATAGACCTAGGATCCAGGAGATTGTGGTTCGATTCCCTGTCAGGGCACATGCCCGGGTTGCGGGCTCCAACCCCAGTAGGGGGCATGCAGGAGGCAGCTGATCAATGACTCTCTCATCATTGATGTTTCTATCTCTTTCTCTCTTTCTTCCACTCTCTGAAATCAATAAAGATATATTAAAAAAAAAAAAAACTCTTGAGAGAATTGTTTTCCATTAATTGTCTCAGAATAGAACCCGATTAGTTTAGATTTTTTTAAAAAACTTACTTTGTTCCATTTCCTTCCGTATGCCTTTTAAAAAATTACACTTGTTGACACTGGTGGATTGACAAAGGACATTTTTATTTACTTGTCCAGGGTGGAGTGATTGGCAAGATTATAAACTTGAATTGACATTTAATTGTAGTAGGTGTGGTGAAGAGAAAAAAAATTCTTAGGTTTATATAACTCTTTTCCTTACCAAAGGAATTGTTCTTTATTATTTGAGTAATATATTAACTCATGAAAAGATTTTAATCATTTCATTTTTTCTTCAAGTGTTCATTACTAGTTTTATTAACTTATTAGAAATGAAAGTCGTAACATTTTTCTAAGGTTTAAAATGAATTTTATCTGAGTAAGATCAAATGGTTGCCAATATATTTTGTTTCCTTTTTTTAGGGATTCATTTTTCTTTTTTAAGTTTTTTATTTATTGATTTTGAGAGAAAGGGAGGGAGAGAGAGAGAAAGGGAAAGAGAGAAGAAAAAAAGCATCGTTTTGTTGTTCTGCTTGCTTATGCATTCATTGGTTGATTCTTGCATGTGCCCTGACCATGGATCGAACCTGAAACCTTGGTATATTGGGACAACACTCCAACCAATTGAACTACCCAGCCAGGTCTCTGGATTCATTTGTTAATATTCAGTTGGCTTTTATGTTGTTAGGATACCAGTTTACAATGCAAACCTTGGGCTTTGAAGCTGATAATAGATTTATTTTTTATTGACATGCATTGTTATAGAGTAGGGTATTTCAGGTAAGCAAGTAATGTTAAAACAGGAAAATAGCAATTTCTAATTATTTTCTTAATTATTAAATTCTCTTTGTTTTCTTGGTTCTAGGTTATGGAAGATTAATCAAATGAAAAAGAGGCAAACTCACCTTAAAATAAATTGAGTTTTCTTTGGACCCAGCAATCGGACTTGTTGATACTATATACCAAGCTTTTATTATTAATGGCTTAGGAACTTGCAGATTAATAAAATATTACCCTGAGAATGATATATAAATATTGCATTTTTACTTTACCTCATATGAGTTATTTATAACATCCTGAATCATCTTCTGTACACATGGATTTTTATCCAGGGTTATTTTAATTTTTGTTAGTCATTTCTCATGATTAATTCTTTGCATAACGTTTGAAACAGTTTAAAATACATTTTACCTCACCCTAGCCGGTTTTGCTCAGTGGTTAGAGCATCGTACTGTGCACTGAAAGGTCGCCAGTTCGATTCCTGGTCAGGGCACACGCCTAGATTGCGGGTTTGGTCCCCGGTCAGGGTGGCAGCTGATAGATGTTTCTCTCTCCCTCCCTCTCTTTCTCTCTCTCCCCCCCCCTTCCTCTCTGTTCTCTAAAATCAATAAAAATATATTTTTAAAAATATCAGGCTAGTAGTCCCCAGTGTAGTAGCATATAATTTCTCCCTAAGAGACCAACCCCCCGCCAAAAAAAAAAAATCATAATGCTGAATACTGATTAAAAAGCAAAACAAAACCAGGTTCCAGAATGTAGAAAAAATTTCCATTAATTATAAGACATTGCAGGCTGAATTGCTCAGGCTTTATCCCTTGAAGCAGAATCCCTCTGAAATGAAGATGAGAAGCTGCTTTGGTCCTTCTACTGGCTTCTGTAGTCTGTGCCATGCCAGAAATTTGGGTAGTTATCTTTCTACCATAGCGGTACTGCCTTTTTAGAGAGCCCAGATCGCAAATTATCCTTCTCTCTCATTTTTCTATAGTAATTCAGAGACAACAGTTCATAAACAATGTCAGGAAAAGAAAGATGGGTACATTGCATATCTGGAATTCTGGTCCCCAAAACTACAGAGATTAAAATAGGGATGGAAACAAGAACTCCAGCAGTTATGAATGCCAAGAATTGAAGTTTTTATTTTTGTCCTTTGATTCACAGAACCAGATAGTGAGGTTGGAGAATTTGCTTTCTGAGCTATTTTAGATGGATTCAGCTTAGACTCTGGGAATTGCTTTGAAAGCTAGGAATTGACTCGCGCAGTCATGGTGGCTAGCAAGTCCAAAATCTGCAAGGTGGGATATCAGGCGGCAGACACAGGGAAGAACTGATGTTGCTGTCCAAATCCAGTTCTGCTGGTGAATAATTGTGCTCTGGAGAGGTGAGTCTTTTGCTCAAGTCAGACCTTTAAATGATTGTAGTAGGCCTACCCACATTATGGAGCGCAAGGTGCTTTACTCAAAGTCACCAATTTAAATGTTAATCTCATCCAAAAGCACCCTTACAGACACATCCAGAATGTGTGACTGATATCTGGACACTGTGGCTAAGCCAAATTGACATATAAAACTAAGCATCACAGTGAATAAAGTTTGCTTTCATGGCCAACTTATTTATTAAAAAATTTAAAAAATTTTTATTTTAGAGAGAGAGAGAAATCAACTTCTTGTTCCACCTATTTATGCATTCATTGGTTGGTTGCTGTATGTCCCTTGACCGGGGATTGGATCCCACAATCTTGTATCAAGACGATGCTCTAACCAACTGAGCTACCTGGCCAGGTTCCATGGCCAACTTATTTATGATTCCTTTTTCCATATCTTGCCCCTTCTCGACATTTCCATACTCAATTCCACAGGCCCTTATATTGTCCCTTTCTTGCCCAGAGTCATCAACCAAGGTAACCTGTCCAGGCCTGCCTTCTAATTTCAGGATTATCTTTATCCCTTTCAAAACTCAATGTTTCCTCAGTGAACTTTTCACACCTGGTATGAAAATGAAAAGTAAGCCTATAAATAGTATTACTCTAAAGTGTTAATAGATGATAATGACTTAATGTAGATCTCCTAGGGGAGGGAGAGGTGTTCTATATTAAATATATAAGTACAGGTAGAGTTTAGGCATGTGATAGGCAAGGAATGGAGGTAATTTGGGACAAGGGAACTTTGTGGTCCCCTTGTAATCACATTTTGTGAAAGATTAGTCCTCTAGAGTCAAGCACTATTTAACATCTGGTCTTCCCCCCCCCCCCTTT